ATCATGCCTTTCATATCTTTCATATTTTCTCTTGCTTCTCCAGACTTTCTACTTCCTCTGTAGTAAATCCTGTAGTTAGTTTTTCCTTCCAGTCTGATGATGGAGGAGGTGCTGCTAGTTTCATCTCTCTTTGGTATCTCTCTTTGATATCTCTCTATAAAACATCAAAATATTGTCCTCTTTACAAACAAGGGTTTGTTCTTGTATGCAGAAAATTACAGAACAAGTGCTAATAGTATAGAGCTATTAAATGGTGTAATTTAAAACATACACAGCGGGTACCGTGAATAAAAGCATCAGAAGTAAAGGCAGCTATTCTGAGTAAGGGCTACATTGCACTCATTTAAAGGAATAAGCATCCCTAAAATAGCATAAAATTTTGTAAGACTGTAGGAGCAGTGATCACATTAGGGAGGACAAAAAAAGGAATTCTGTGTTCACACAGAGCTAGAGGGACAATTTGATGTATTTATGTGTGCCGCCTTTGGCCTGCCTGAACAACCCTCATGGGATGGATTACCAGGCTTTCACCTCAGTGTTCCACCAGCCTTTTCAAGCCTTGTTGACATACCGAGTGTTGCCAGCATCATGTGACAATGTACTTGTCTCATGATAATAACGCTTATGCAGGTTACTCTTAATAAGAAAATACGTGTTTTTAATATGACATGTTTGGCATGTTCCAACAGTGAGAGGAACTGGGCAAATGTAAAACGGGGTGCTATAGCTGTATCTCCCTGCAGTGAGACCTATAGAGCACAACAGGGTTTCCAATAACACGTTCCTGTTCTGATGGCGTGCCAAGTTTCCAGCCTTCCTCTGCATTTTCCCAGCCCCTTCTCAGGTTTCTCTCACTAAGAAATCCTTTTGTCTATGCCAACACTCCTCAGATGTATTGAGATCTACTGAGTAATTTTATCAAGGGCTAATTTTTTACTGAGACCCACTCAGCAGACAGAAACGTGAGAGCTCCAGTTTCAGCTCTGCCAGGTGCAGCGCACTGCCACAGGGCTTTAACCTCAGCACTGTCCCATGGCCAGCTGCACCAGAAGAACAGCACAGAAGAGATGATATCCTGCAGGAGCATTGTGTGTTTGGGACTTTAATGATGCCGTTCCCCTTTGAAGGTGCTGTTGCACTTCCCACCCCTTCACCCTTCCCATCTCTGCCCTTCACTTGAAGAGGGAGAGGACTGGCCTCACCTGAATCTGGATGTGGCCTTGTAGCACCACTGCCATGCTCCCAGCTCTCCTCCCCGCCTGCTTTCTTTCCCAGGCAACCAGATTCAACTCTGTAAACATTAGATGTGGCATCGCTGGATCATTTTGCATAGGGAACTGTAGAGCTCTTCATTTTCTCATGCATTGCCTTTGTTTGAGAGTAGCAGCTCAAGAAGACGTCTTCTAAGAAAATATTCTTAAATGTCTAGATATTATTCTCCCAATCCTCAAAACTAACAGATCAAAACTGAACACAGTTTGATACAAAGGTGTAATAATTTTGCATCTGTCTTTCAAAAAACATTTCAATTGTATCTTTAAAGGGAAATGAGCTGACTCATATTTAGCCACAAATTCCAATTACTAACTTTCTCTTCAGGTTTTAATTATATATTATATTACACTTACAGTAAATATGCTAGATGAGGCTATTATACCGCTATTAAATTTTATGCATTATATTTTACCTGTGAAGTACCTATTTTGCAGGTCATTGTGTATATACTTTGTAGAGTCTTATACAAAGATTTTGAAAATTACGTTATTGCTCATTGAAAATATGCAATTCTACTCCCACCTTCTTCTTACAATTTAATAAATAACACTTGAATAAAATCTTAGCAGTTTAAATTATTAATAAAAAAGGAATATAAAATTGCAGGGAAGTGGTGCAAATATTTTTCTTTCAACATATAAAATTAAATAGAAAATAAACATATATAAGTTGATCTTATTCAGAGATGCATTACTGCTAATACTTTTACAAAGGCTGTCAGGCCATCTTTCTGATGTTTTAATAAATCTGAAGATTTATTTACTGATCCAAGTTCTATCTGTAAAATCTTCAGTTATGAGAAACTTGGTGGGTTATCAAACGCTTGCTGGGTAGACCAGCTATTACAGCTATGTTTGATGGATATGTAATAATGATTACTGGATCAGTTCAGAAATACCTTCTGGTTCTACACTTCAAAAACCTAAAGCAGATTTTTGCACTTGATTACTGAAGCCACATGATAGTGCTTTCCTTGAATTTTGAACTAAAGCCATGGTCAGATTGACCCTGTGTGCATGTATGAAATACGTGTATGCTGTTCCATAATACACAACAGAAAAAGCAACCAAATTAATATGAAAAACCTTTGTTTCAAAGCCATACTGTAGATAAGCCTATTAGTTTAGACATAAACCTGTGACTTGTATTTTAACTTTTGATGTACATGCATGTACGCATATGTGAATATAAATCTGTCTTTCTATATAGGTTACAAAAACTGAAGGTCTTGATATTGCTCCCAGTGTATTTACTGAGAATTTTGCTGTGAACAAAACTACACAGAGAAGAGGAAGCAGGTATTTTACAGAAAAAAGCAGAGCATTCTGTTTGCTAGAAATACCCCCTAGCATTTTACACAAGCTTTCCCAGGATGAACACTAGAGAATTATAAGAAATTCTGAATTATCAGAACTTTCTATATACCCCAAACCATGCCACTTTACACACTTTTCATAGAGAAACAAGGCAAGGAGTTTGACTCCTGAAAAAAAACCAACCCACCCAACCAAAAAATCTACCCCACCTCAACCCTTATTTTTGGCCTATTTTTATCTTTCACCCTGGAGACCCACCATCCTTCCTTTTAAAACAATACAAGAATAGAAAATTGCATTTGACATACTTCTTTTATTCTCAAATCAAAACAAGGAAGCATTAGATACCATTCCAACAGAAAACATTAAACTTCTTGCAGCATTTTGATGTGGCTTTGTGACTTCATCATGCAGCCACAGGTGAAGCTTCCAGTTCCTGTAATGGGGTGGGCTTTTTGTGTCTTGGGATCATAGGTTCAGATATTTTCATTTGGGGGAGAGGTAATATTCCTGATGAAACTCTTAAAATGCAGCCTATGAAACACAGTTAGCATACTTAAATAGTTAGCATTTTAAAACATAGTATATACTAACTGATGAGATTTTCCATTTTCTATTGCAGTTAGCAATTCTGCTGCATTTTCCTTGGGTTTCATGATTTCTTACGTAAAATCCATGCTAATTTCTCATTAGATTTTTCCCCAAGTTTCTCTAGCCATTTATCCCTAGTCTGTAAGCTTTTATGAACGTAAGTCTGGAAGGGATGGTCTGAGTTTAGCTTTCTCTGCAGAAAACCTACCACATAAGTCTGTTCATATATGCAATTTTTAAATTTATTGGGCTTTTTACCAATAACCCCCATTGCAAAACAGGTCCAGAACCTCCATTTTCTGATGCTTAGAAACATCCTGATTTCCTCCTTAATTTAATTCATGCTCTGTTTATATCCATCTGTTTCAGGGCCAGCATTTTCCTGTGGCTTAAAATAGCTCTTCGCTTCACCAGGGTGCTAACCTGGATGTAATCTATGCACAGACAGTAATCATATGCCACTCAGCCTTTCTTCCATTAAGCAATTTTAAAATTTTGTAAAATCAGTTGCTCAGTCCCCTGAATTCTTTTCACTTTTCTCAGATCATATTCTGAACTAGAATTGTACACAGACAAAGTGGTTGTCTGCAGGATGGCCTGCATCTCATTTTCTACTGAAAATATTCCACAGCCCTGCATTTATTGTTTAGTTTGCTGAATCATACTAGTGGCTCATAAGGTTCAATAATTACACTTGAGCATTTCCAGTCTATCACTTCCTCTGATAAATCCCTCATTATATCAGAACATCTTGTTATTAATCCCTAAGGACATGACCTTGTATTTTGTAGTAAATTTAACTTTACTTCTGTTACTACAGGTTGCTAGGTCACCTGTTTTCTAGGAATTAAATTCTTGATATGGATTGTTGTGAGCAAGGTGTATTTGTTTTTTCCATCAGCAAGTTTAGTTAGCATGCTGTTATTTTTGTGCCAGTGCCTTTAGAAAATAAGACTGGGCCCAATGCTGGTATAAGAAGCCCCACTTGAAATCCCTCTCTGGTCTCATAGTGCCCTTTCCAGCACAGACCTATTTTCATCCTTCTTTTAGCCACTTCTTTATCTAACTTATATTTTGTTGTGTTATTTCCTGTTTCAGCTAATAATCTCACAGGTACTATGTTGTCAAGTGCTTTGCTGAGATAAAAATCATAGAATCATAGAATGGTTAGGGTTGGAAAGGACCTCAAGATCATCTAGTTCCAACCCCCCTGCCATGGGCAGGGACACCTCACACTAAACCATGTCACCCAAGGCTCTGTCCAACCTGGCCTTGAACACTGCCAGGGATGGAGCATTCACAACTTCCCTGTGCAACCCATTCCAGTGCCTCACCACCCTTACAGTAAAGAACCTCTTCCTTATATCCAAATCAATTGGATCTATCACATTTCCAGCCATAAAACTTCTGCTGCCATTAAAGTTTACCTTTAGTAAACTTGGGCTGCATTTTATCCCATCTTCCATTTGTATCCATAGTGCTCATTATTTTCAAAATTTTAAAGCTTTGAGTGTTATTGTAAACTAACAGAATAATTGCAAGTATATTGAACATTTATAAAAAGTGAAACTTGCTATGTAGCACCACAATACAACAGATGGATTAAAATCTGTACCACAAGCCATAAAATGTTATGCCCTAGTTCTTACATTAGTCATTAATGCTTCCCCATTTAAGCAAGTTGAGCTCACCTATTTTAGCTTCCCTGCCATGGTTCACGTTGTGTATATTCTCTTCTAACAGCAAACTTAGCTTTGTCTTTCCTTTCTACATTTTTGTTCTGAAAGCTGCAAAAATTACACTCCCCAGTAGGCTGGGGAGTGTAGCTAGATTATACATAACATCAGTGCTTTAGGGCTTCCCCTTCCTTTTGTGCTAGTTGCAATGTGCTACCTAAACCACTAGTCTTTTGCTTTTTGGTTTATTCTTTGCAAGATCTAGCAAAGTCTAGGTTTGGCTAATCATCGTTGAGTCCTTTGCCTCCAAATCTCCAATTAACAGCTTGCTTCAATAATTTCCGTCCTCCATTCCATATAGACCTTTTCCTTGTTTTTTACTCTGTTGACATGGTTACTCATCCTGCTTCCATACTTGGAATGTAAATTACAGACCGTTTTTGCATCTCTGAGTTAGATAAATTCCAGATCTCTGTCATGCTTAAGCTTCTGATTTATTCAGTCCATTCATATACCTCAATTACTATGTCTAATCTACCAACATTTGTTGTTATGGTATTAAAAAAGCCCTCCAAAACTTTCATTGTTAAAACAGCATTGTTTATTCTTCCATTTAATTTGTATTTTTCCACCCTCAGAAATACAAGCTTTGACATATCACTGGGATGGAACCAAGGCATTACTAGGACAAAGGAACAACAACCAGCTCATGAGTCCAGGCTAGACTTCAACAGCTTGCAAAATAAGTGTTATGGGTGGTCCAGATGTGTGAGGGAACATGATACATGTACGGAGTGAGAAAGATTGCATTCTTCTTTTTCACTCATACCTGTGAGTCTATCTGTAATTATACTCTGCTTCCAAAATACTGTGCACATCTCTCCAAAACAGCAAGGTAGGAGGTAACCATAGTGGCCTTGGTGGATGTGATACCTCTAATTATCTAGTCATTCTTGAAAGGTCAAGCATTGGAAACCAAAGCTTACAGCCAACAACAACAACAAAAAAAAAGGTGTTCCAGGCTAGTAATGAGTGACTCTATGAATGAAGAAGCCAAAAGATTGATTTCTATAACCAGTGTTTTCTTAAAATATGTTTTATGTTATGATTGAAATCATCTGGAATACTCCAAATTCTTCTAAGTCAATGTGTCTACATAAGTTAATATAATTAAGCATTCTAATGATGAAATCACCTGGTGGATATTGTTTTTGTAGGTTATCTTGCTTCTAACTGTAGATTTGTAGAAAAGTAGTTCATACTTTTATTTGAGATCTGGGGGGTACGGGTGGGTGTAGGTTAAAATACAAAAGGAAGGAAACATTAACCTTTATCCTGCTAAAGGTTAAACACCTCATGAAACCTACGAGGCTTGATCCCAAAACTTTATAGGACCAAGGTTACTCATTATTTAACATACTAGACAGAAAAAAAAAAAACAAACACACAAAAAGTTCTATTTAGTATTGTCTCCCTTCCTCTTCAAACAAGTGAGAAGTTTCTTTATTGAGGGAAAAGTATTGGGAAAATTACCCAATAAAATCTCAGTACCTGAAGTGTATTATTCATTTTGATCAACAGCCACCAGAGAAAGAATTGTGAGAAGCATGTCGAAAAAGGAATAAAGTCTTTCCCTAGAGCAATGTGGGATCATTTGGAAAATAATTACAACATAAAAAAGGGCAAAAGAATCAGTAAAACTACTGAATTTCTGTAATTTAGTGTTATTTGTCAAGAATTTCTTCTACAAGTGGAAGAGTATTATTTAAATATGGAAAACCTCTAAAATGCTTCAGTGACAGTTTATTATTCCATACACTTTACTTTGATAAACAGCCTTATTCCATTCATTTCTGTGTACTCTTTCCATTATTTTCCATATTAGATATGAGCTGTTCGATGTATAATTTAGCCTAGCAATTACATGAGGTTGTTATGCCAAACTAGAAATATAAAATATAAAAATATAAAATATAGAAAAATCATATAGAAGTACATAGAAATGCAGAAATATGTTCCTGAACATATTTTGCAATTTTTTAATGACTAAGAAGTTACTATTAGTGTTCATCAGTATATCCAGAGCAACTTAATTAATCTTTAAAGTGTAGCCAACCATAGTAGACAATCTTGTACTGAAAGCAATAAAACATGGCAGCTATATTTCCCAGGAATTGTAACCACTGATTCCTGATATTTAGGACTGTTCAAGGTCCTAAAATCCAAGCAACAGTGAAATGGTGCTCTACCACCTTTGTTACCAAAAGGGTGCCAGCAAGTTTTAGAATAAAGTACTCCTTGTCAGATAAGCATATTGCCATTTAAATGAAGAAAACACACCATATGCTTAAATCAAAAACTTCTGGCACCTACGCACTGAAAGGGGAAGCCGCACTCCACCCCAAACTATGTTACAGCCTTTGGCAGAAGTACACAGTAGCCTCATATGAACTGTGGAATCTCTAAACACTGTCAAAGCAACCTTCATTAAGGAAGAGCTACATGAAACAGGCTCTGCTAGGTTTGTCCAAGCTCATTTATAGAACACTATACCTTGGCTTTGTGAGTTGGTGTCCCAGATTTGTTAGCAAACAAATGGGTAACAATATACTGGAAAGGAAAAAGAACTCAAATGTTGACATTATAGAACTGCTTGAAGAGCCATAAGCATTAATGGAGGCCCTGTACTAGAGTACCACTACTGAAATACGAAGCCTTAAGATTTTAAGATTTAGTCTAGAAAGCACTCTTTTAAAAGGCTAAGATCAGGGTTTTTCTTTGGCTGATAGAAGTAATTACCCTTTATTGCTATTCAGTAAATATTTGAGAAAGGTAAATTAATAGGACTACCTGTTGCAGGCAAGCCCAGAGATCAGCATATTCAGATAATCAGCACAATATGTTCAGTGAGTTGTCAGGAACATAGAGAAGTTGGGGATGGGTACAAGGAGAGACTAAAGAGTTTAGCGAGGAAGGAAAAAAATAAGAGAGGCTAGAGTTAGAAAATAAGAGATGCTAAATGCTAGTTAATAGCGTAGCCAAACAGAGTTTTCTGGTAATAGAATCTGTTCTTCTCAACTCAAAAGAAATACAGTGTTTGCAGGTGATCTCTGTTGTTGAGGGATCTCTTTCCCTGGGGTTGCCAGCTGTGTTTTGATAGTCAGATTGGGTGGGAGATTTCTCCAACTCTTGACAGTTTTCTTCCCTGTTGAGGAAACAGGTCGACAGCCATCATTTCCTTTGCTTGTCAAGGGAATTTTTTTTTTCTTTTGCTCCTTGGAAAAGTGCTTGCTCTGTATTTATTCCCTTTGTTTCGTTTTTTTTTCCTTTTCAATGATCTTTCCTGTACACAAGGATTCTCAACCTTCTCAAGGAAAACCTATCATATGCCATTCCTAGAAGTGACTCCTGAAGCCTGGTGATCGTTTGTGTCTACCCACCCCATACATTTTCCTTTCCCACAAGTGGAGCAAGAGGAGGCAGCAGCAATGACAAGCAGGGATTTATTTCTCTATAATTTGTGGCCCCCTGACACCATGCCTGAGGGGTAGAGAACTCCCTGCAGCCACTTTGTTTGTAGCCTTTTCTTCATTGAAGTTGCTGACAAAACTGACTGGGAAACCCGAGGCTTTATTGTTTTTCATTCCCAGCAAGCCATGAAGTGCACAGTGGTACACAGCTCTGTGAAGCCATCTAGTCTTACAGAATACTGTGTGTGGTTTGTAATTTTGCAACCCTGCAGTTTTCTAAATGGTGGTTCAGTATTGAAACAAAGAGAATGCCGTTTTCATGTGCTAAAATGAAACAGTTCTATTTATTAATACCATTCCTAAATTATTTTATTTGCAGGGAAGAAAGAACCTTCCCTCAAATCTCCAGCTGCCTAACAGCATTTTTCATTTTTTAGTATTTCACCTTCTCAGGGCGAACATGTTTAGTGATTTTGGAAGCATTGTTTTATTTGAGATTATTCCTAATTTACAATGGTAATTTACAGCTATTAAAATTAGTGGAATTACAGGAGTATAGCTGCCCTGTAGCTACTGTTTCACAATAAAAAATGGCAAGAGTAGTCTGAAGCCTTCTTAATACCCCCTCCACCCCTCAGCTGTGCCAACACAACTGCTTGTACGACTTCTTAAATAGTCCTTAAATGGAATAAAAAAAAAATCTTGGAAAGATGTGTTAGCACAACTGAATGGATGGCATGACATGGGCAGAAGAGGGAACAAAACAAGGGAAGCAGAAATACCTCCAGCTGATACTGCTGCTTGGACTGCAGTAAAATAACAGCCTGTGCAACGTCAAAAGTGAGAGCAGGCTTGTAACACCCGCTGAGCCAATTCTCAATTAGCTATGATTTGATTACCTATGTTGCAGATTATCTGTGCCACAAATGTTAAACTGACCACTGTGCATCTGGCAGAGGTATTAGGTGAGGTCCGCCACTGTACCAATGCAAGACTGTGCCTGGCCTGGAAACAGCACACACACCTTCATGCAGAGATTTGAGATCATAAATTCTGTCACACCAAAGTTCCCTCTCTGAAACAGCTGAGCCTTCTCCTCACCGTGTTCCCAGAACCAGGAGTGACAGTGTGCTGCAGTCACACCTCACTGCTTCCCTCAAGAACAGCTCAGACCCAGCTGGGCTGCAGGCCAATTGCAGCCGGCTGCATGTGAAGACAGCTGAAATGATCCCCAGCACACAGGATTATGGGAGGCCTTCTAGGTCAGGTGAATACGATACACATGCACGGATCCAGTCTGGATATCTGACCCAACAAGCTCTCCCACAGGGAACTAAGGAGATAGCATTGAAACGTCAGCAGCAAGAAGCTTGGCCAGTTTCTGGAGGAAAGTATGGGAGCAGAATGAAAAGGCCAAAATGTCACAGGTGACACCACCAGTGAAGCATTTACACTATAAAGTATTACTTGCAAAAGAAAACAGGAAACATTACAATCAGGAATAGGATATTGAGAGGCATTCTCTCTTTGGCTCAGTTCCAGCCTGACTGAGCTGGATGACACAGAGGATCCTGCTGGTTATAAGGCAACTTTTTCTTGGTTGTCTGTTACAGTGCTAAAGCAAAGCTTGCAAGCACAGTAGTTTCCTGCAAACCATGATAAAACCATCACCTCTCAGAGTGAAAGTATATTTTAGTGCTACCTAGTAGCTTTGCAGCTGATTTTTCTGTGATATTTATATTGCATCATAAATGTGTTTACCATTCTGGATTATTTTAAAATAATACAGTTTGCCACCTAAAAGTAAGCCGATTTCCAAGTGAACACAAGTATTTTTACTCTAATGTAATAGCTATCACTTTGCTTTAACAGATCATCAAAAATTTAAAATTAATTCTTAGAAATTAACTAATTCTTAGAAATTCTTAGAAAATTAGAAATATTCAGATAAGGTGCACAACGTCATTAAATCAGTTAGCTTCAGGATTTTCATTTTTATGTGTTTTGTCTGCCCCATATGAGCAATACCAATGAAGCCAAACAGCCTGTTGGCCGGTTCCTATGTTGCAATCTTGTGTGATATTATGTTCTCTAGTAATGCCAATTCTTTTTGGCCCAAAGAGTCAGCCAGCTTTCCACATCTTTAAGATAGTTTTCATTAGCAAAAAAAATTGATGAAATGTGGTATGACCCCCTTTATTTAGGAAAAATGGGCATAACATTCTGATTTACGGAGCACAGAGAAATTCAGATGACTAGGAGCAATTTATTTACCTGTAGTTCCCAGACTCTCTGTAGGCAGCTGTATTCTAAAAATCTCCTTCTGGCAATTCTGATGCCGCACAGATAGAATTACAGCAGCTTCCAGACCACTTCCTCAGGTCTGAAATGATCTCTAAATCCTCAGAAAACCAGCCGGACTGTTTGACCCTCCTGTTGTCTGCACCTGCATGTGACCCAGTGCAAATACAACATTTTCTACTGCCCATTATCTAAATCAATGTAAATTTTAATTTTTTTCATGTGGTTTCTGAATGGAAAGTGGCTCTTATGGCCACTACTTTGAACAAAATGGTTTACTGCTCAATGACTGACACAGCAGCATGCTCTTCAGACTTCATTTTTTCATATTGTCAAACAAATCCCTTTGGAATTGCACTGAATCTCATAGCTTAGCCAGATATCACAGGCAATCCCATGTGGCCATCCACTGAAGCCAAGAGAATTACTGCAGGGATGGATTTGGCAGCACAGCATTTTGAACTGAGTTCCCTTAAGCAAGAAATCAGCACAAACGTACAAATCCGGCTGTGTTTGAAGGTTCTGTTTCGCAGCCATCTGTGCAGTCTTTTATTGTTAAATGGGAAAAAAACAAATTCTGGGCTAAATGAAAATAACTAGAAAAAGCTGTTCTGAATTATTTGAAAACCCCAAAAACATTATGTGTGAGTAAAACACTAAGCATCCAGCTTAAGATGTGTTGATACTGCAAATTAACATCAGAATCCAAATATGATTTCTTAAGTTAAAAAATACAGTCAGCTTAGAGCAGTTTACTGTGTGTTAATTTCTCAAACTAAACATGAGAGCTGGAATGTTGCCTGCTTTGTAGTGGTGCATAGAATCTTGTATCATCTTTGGAAAAGTAATATACTTAATTACTGTTTGCCAAATCAATGAGTAATTACATGGTCGAGAATTGAGTAAATTCTAAAATGTGCATGAATACCAAACTGCAATTGATTGACAATTATTCTGGAAGCCTTGTTACATGTCACGCTTCACATTTACGAAAATCTATCACTGTTACAGTTAAGAATATAGTATTTTATGGGATAGATGGTATCCTGTTCCCATTGGTGAGTACTTGATTCACGGACCTGATCTTGCCATAGCTGTAGAAAGATACTGGCCCAGACTGATCCCAAGTCTGATTCAGAATAGTATTTTCCATGTATCAACCTCTGACCTTCCTGTGACATCCCTGCTGTTTGGGACCTGAAGAAAGTATATGTTTCTCAACATACTAACTCAAATATGTTTTAATCTGTGCAGTCAGTTTGGTTTTTTTAATGCAACTTTGCATAAAAGTTTGATCCACATTTTGTTTTCCCTTCTATTAAGGATCAGCTTCTGATTAATTTAAGCAGAAAAACATAGCGAGGGTTTAAGCACTGAGGTGCTGTCAGATTCAGACAATAATCCTGTCGATTAACAACAATATTTTATGAGAATGTATGAGAATATATTGAGAAGTAATGGGTGCTCGCAGCCCAGAAAGCCAACCATATGCTGGGCTGCATCAAAAGAAGCTTGACCAGCAGGTCCAGGGAGATCATTCTACCCTTCTACTCTGCTCTTGTGAGACCTCACTTGGAGTACTGTGTTAAGCTCTGGGGCTCCCCAGGATAAGAAGGCCATGGAACTGTTGGAAAAAGGCTGAGGAGGGCCACAAGGATGATAAGTTATGAATCTCTGCAGTGTTCAAGTCAAGGTTGGACAGGGCCTTGAGCATCCTGGTCTAGTAAAAAGTGTCCCTACCCATGGCAGGGGGGTTGGAACTAGATGATCTTTAAGGTTCCTTCCAACCCAAACCATTCTATGATTCTATGATTTTTGCTTTTTAAAGACTCTTTAAATTGCAAGTAAAGACACAAATGGCAGATGCATATTCATCAGAGCTGTGGAGCAATTACCACTGCAAAAGTAGTTCCAAGTCACACTGCAAAATCTCCCTGTGTCTGTAGTATGTTCTGGCATAGAGCAGTTACTCTGAAACAGCATGTGTAATGCATGAGTAAGCTCCTTTAAACCTGGAGTTGTGTATGATCAGCAGCTAACACTAGTCAGCTGATGGGGAGTGACTTGCTCCTGTCCAGACCAGGAGCATTTGCCTCTCTGCCATCTTTGCCCCCACTGTAGAAGCCTAGCCAGATCCACCTTTTCCAAGACTCTGGGAACAAGACAAGGTAGAAAATGGGACATTGATGTGTGTGGAGGTGGATGAGGTAACGGAGCTGGCTCCTTTTTGTAAAGATGAGCAAGGTGAGTTAAAATTTGGGGCTTAAGTATGTGATGCATGGACATACGTACAGAAGTGATGTAAGAAGGCAGGTATGGAAGCACGTATCTTCCTGAACTTTCATGCAGACCAGTCTGGGAACATAAGTTTGACACTACCCGTTGCACCAAAGTCTTACCCCTATCTAATGGATTAATCCTGCAAGCCCATGCTCTGTATCAGTCTGTTTCGTAGTCATGAAATCTATGCTAGGATGAATAACAAACAAGTTCAAGTTTACACACAGGAAGTTATCCACATGCTGTGAGCGATCAACACACCCCCACAATGAAAGGAGGCTCAGAGCCAGAAACTCCTGCCATAAAACCTGCGACAGAATTAGTCAAACAATTAGAGCAATAGGGTACTATAGAAAGAATTCACCCACCATGTAACAGCCCGGTATGGCCTTTTAAAAAAAAAAAAGAGATTGTATACAGCACATGACTATGAAAGCAGGGCTTTCAATAAAGCAACTGGCACTTTAACAGCCCTTGTTTCCAGCACAGTAGATATGAACACGCTCTTCTGTGGATGGGAGTGTTAGCTACAAAAGGTATGGTCTTTTTGATCCCAGTACGTGAGCAAGACAAACCACAGTTTGCATGTACTTGGGGTGGAAGACAGTATACCTTTTATGACCTACCCCAAGGTTTTAAACACGTACCCATCTTTGCCCATGCCACCTTAGATAAACAGTTAGAATCAGTCATCCTGTCACCTGAAGTAACAATTTTGCAATATACAGATGATATTGTAACTGGAGGGCATGTTGAGTAAATGTATCAATGCTGCTGTCCTGCACTTATTAAGTATTAGTGTTCCTGACTTGAAACGGCAAGGACCAAGTTAAGTAGTCATATTTTTAGGTACATGATGGATAGGAGAACAGAACACAGTTGCAGAATTTGTATTGTCAGAGACACAGAGTATTCAAGCACATTCTGATAAAAAGGAGTTATAAGCTTTATTAGGAAGGTTTGGGCTTTGGAGGTCACACATTCCTGGATTCAGTATGTTAGGGGGATCTCTATAACTTGGTGAAGAAAAATGCTATATGGACTTGGGAACAAAATCATCATGAAATATTAAATGCTTTAAATGATGACATTTTACCAACCAATCTATGGGACCTTTTATCCCTGCACACCCAAGGAGACTTCAAATAGGCCCCAAGGAGTCTTCATATAGAATAATAGAATCATAGAATAGTTAGGGTTGGAAAGGACCTTAAGATCATCTAGTTCCAACATCCCTGCCATGGGCAAGGACAGCTCACACTAAACCATGCTACCCAATGCTCTGTCTAACCTGGCCTTGAACACCGCCAGGGATGGAGCATTCACAACTTCCCTGTGCAACCCATTCCAGTGCCTCACCACCCTTACAGTAAAGAATTTCCTCCTTATATCAAATCTAAACTTCCCCTGTTTCAGTTTTAACCCGTTACCCCTCATCCTATCACTACAGTCCCTAATGAAGTGTCCCTCCCCAGCATCCTTATAGCCCCCCTTCAGATACTGGAAGGCTGCTATGAGGTCTCCACGCAGCCTTCTCTTCTCCAGGCTGAACAGCCCCAACTTTCTCAGCCTATTTTCACATGGGAGGTGCTCCAGTCCCCTGATCATCCTTGTGGCCCTCCTCTGGACTTGTTCCAACAGTTCCATGTCCTTTTTATATTGAGGACAACAGAACTGCACACAGTACTCCAAGTGAGGTCTCACAAGAGCAGAGTAGAGGGGCAGGATCACCTCTAGGATCACCCCCAGGATACAGTTGGCTTTCTGGGCTGTGAGAATATAGGACAGAATATGTATACAGAATATATAGAGAGAATATATATGTGAGAATATATATAAAGAATATATATAGGCATAGGTTATGAGGGATATCAACAGGCATTATGGCAACAAGATGTGCAAAGTAAAAAAGCTTATCTATTACATTTTGTTGCAAATTGTGGCAAGGCTCCTAACTATACTCCATTTGAGAAAGTGCTGTTAGCTGCGTGAGAGGCTGCTAACTACTGAGCCTTTAATTCAAGAAAGGGAAATAAAGTTATGTGTACCCATTCCTACTTTAAAACTAATTTTAATTGGTAAGCTGTTACCCATAATGGAAGCCCATGAAAGTGATGTGCAATGATGGGCTCTGTACCTAACAAACAGATTTACAGATTGATTTCTTGTTGATTGAACAAAAGATGTCTTATTTTACACCATTTAAGATACAGTAACATGTGGAATTATCTTTGATCCACAAGATGCCTTTCTCAAACAAAATGCTAAAGTTACCCAACATGTGTTAGAAATCGAAAATGTTTAGATGAAAGACCATTAAAAATGGTATATGATAAGAATTAACTGTTTCAATTAGTGAAAGTGGAAACCAGACTTACTAAACATCACTGGCATGGTATCTTTAAAGACTTGTCACCAAAAGCTACCAATGTATTGAAACCAATGTTACATCTCATGCTTCTATTGTTAATAATCATCATGTTGTTTCTTGTAACCTTGGTCTTGACCTGTTACCTGAAAAATCAAACAGTACATGATATTAACTTGAATTACATTCTGAAACTGTAAATAACCAGTTTCCCATATGCTCCCACTTTCACTGTGCAGAGGCAAGTGGGCTGGTAATTCATATGACATATGTATGAAGCTCACTGTCCAATAATTGGTGAATGCTGGGCTGAGCCAAGGGGTGGAATGTGACCAACCTACATCCTCCTACAACGGAACAAGGCTTAGAGGAGATGAGCATAAGAATAACTATCTCAGGGAAGACTGTAAAGAATTACCAGCAGTTACCCTAAAGCTGAACCTAACACAATGGGGACTGGAGGGTAACCTTTGTTTTAGATATATGGCTGTATCAGTGGGTCATTATACTGACAGCAGCCCTCCCTGAGACAACTAATAGAGAATAATGTCTTCCTGAGCTGGCCAGGTCAACATGGCAGGGGAGAAGTGTGTATGTGGCTCAGCCAAAAACAGAGTATAGAAAGTGAGCAACCAACAACATGTGCTTTGGAGAGAGCAATGGGTTTGATCTGTCTTCAACCCAAACAAATAAGCAAATTTGATATTAAACGTAAAACCCTTATGTGGAGTATTTAAAAGAACTTTGTCAGAGGCAATTGGGCTCTGACACGTAATACAGTACTACAGTCAGGCAACATCAAATGTGGGAGAAAACCTTTCTTGTAAGTGGGAAATAACTGAAAAGGTGAAGACTCCGTTTGTTCTCACATAAAACCAATTATTCTGTTGGCGGTGGTAAGTAGTATTCCACATCATCAGATACAATTAACAGTAATTTAAATGACAGTTTGTGCTCAGTGCCTTTTCCCAGCAAGAGTGTCAGGGTAGATGTGTGTATTTGCAAATGACACTAAATGGAGAAAGTATAATGAAGAGTATTTCCTAGTACAGGTACAACTCATTGAAATCAGACACCCTCCTAAGTGTTTACATTCCAGATTTACATTACCAGATTTTCCAGCAAATAGTAGGACTCTGATAAACTTTACTGAAAGCTGGACAACTTGCTTAAGTGCTCCTCTACAATATCTGACAGTAACATAATCACTTGGATCAACCATCTTCCTAACTCACCTCAAACTTTTCAAAAGCAAAGTAATAAGGTCTTCCTGAGGAATCCTTCCCACCTGAAAATAAATTTGCACCAATTAAAGGGAAAATAATGTAAAATAATACTTGATGTGCTAATTATAACCCTCACATGTTCTTTTGTATTTGTTCTTGGCTGACCCAAAAGTCATTGATCAAGTTTATCTGACATCAGCTTTTATAAAAACAGAAAATCAAACAAAAAAATGAGCATCATTTCAGCAACTTTAATAGCTTTGCCAAACTTTAATCACTTGGGCTAAAAATCTCCATGATGTCTGTCTGCCTTGGCCTGTACAAACTTCATTCAATTTTGTTCATAATAATATTCTAATAATATCAGTACAGAAAAGCCCATATAGAAATTAATAACCTTGTCTTTAGAAGAGGGCTTAACTAGCTTGTAGCAAATACAGCATAGTCACAATGCAAACAAAGAGACTAAAGCAAAGTTCTGACAGCTATTCACTAAATAGCACCTGAATGCCGAACCAGGTAGTGGTCCTGAAGAAAAAAATAGCACATAATGGAGTTGTTCAAGGCTGTCATATAATGTAAACAACCAATTTACAACTTAAACGCTTCCCATGCTTGAACTTGCAATTGTAATGCCTTTATTGACTGTGTTTACATGTGTACACTTGCATGCATACATAAACGCAGTATCACATAGAAATAATACTACAAAGAAACACATATCACATAGAAACAATGAGTCATATGGTGCCAGTTTTAGAAGAAAGGACAGATTACATGAAAAGGGAAAATTGAAACTATTCTTCTAATATGAACATGTAGTTCCATATTCTGTTATTTGGCAGTACCATTCAGGCTCCATAAGATGGCAGACCTGCATATATTTAACAGATGTTAGTGTAATGACATTACTGTAAATACATTGCTTTTAAAATGGTTGCTTTAAATGGATGGTGCATGTTTTTAATCAGAATGTTTTTAATGTGATATATTTAGAACCATAATGAACTCAGCTTACTACTCCATATTACCTTTTCCATGCTTACTGATGGCTTTGGACATGGCCTACATAGAGCACCTGTAGAAAAAGAAAATGTAGCACTATCATTCAGAGTTGATTGATTTGGAATTACCTAAATTTGATCAATGTAACGCTTTCTAATAAACACGTAGTTGGTATTTATTCACAATGACCCATTCTAGCAACTTGTGCTCAAAGCAAGCCAATTCTTAGACTATCACTGCTGTCCTGAATATACTAAGGCTCTTGAGTTCATCTTCTAAACAGCCTGCTTTACTATCTGGGGCAACTATGATTTACTTGTTAACCTTGAAATTGGTATATTTATTTCCCATTGAATGATGATGTCACTTCTAAAAGCTTTCTTCAGGTTCTCTTGACATTAATGTAGTTCTATTATTTGTACAGTCATTATAGTGAATTAATACAAAAAATTGGCTTTATGAATAATACATAATGTTTAAGGTTGTTCTGCAGAATGCTGTGTGATGCTTTTGCCAGTGTGTTAAACCCATTTCCTTTCTATCTGTTAAGACCTAAGGCTAAGATTTTAAAAACTGTCTTTTTTTCAAAAATGCTATCATACTTTAAATGACCAAGTAAGAAACTGAATGAGCTTGCAGTTTTGCTTTTATGTTTCACTTTAGCAAACTTTCACTCATAAACATTATCATTACATAGGCATATAATTTTCCCATAAAGGTTTCATTGCACCTGTTCCACTTAGCTAGGACTACAAGGAAAAGTGGCTAGATTGTTTTTAATATTTTGAAAGAATTCCTTGGAATAAAAGACAGTAGGAAGTGTTCATGCCAGCAGGAAAGCAGCTTGTATTCAGTAAGGCTGTGAAAAGGAAATCATGATAATTTTAAAATAAAAAGTGCTCTACTTCCTAGTAAGCAAACAGAATAAAGGAAACAAATTACCATGGAATTTAACTCAAAATCCTCCCAAGAGCACATCAGGAATGTCATCCTAAAAACTGTAATTAGGAAGAGAACTCTTGCTAGAGTCAAGAAATTGGGCCATTATGTCCACGTACAAAATTGCAATATTTTCATATGTAAACATGCTCTTTAATAATTGCTTAGCAGTGAAACCTTGTTTAAAATACTGCTCCCTGACACATTCACAGACTTCTTGCTGACTCACTCATCAAGAATGGGATTTTGAAAAAGAGCAATGAAAACATTCCAGTAACAGAAATACTGAAGAATTTAGATAGGAGTGTCTGTAACCTACTTCTACGTTTAGGCGTAGCTTTGCAGATGTGCCGGGAAGTTTTTGCTGATTTGAAACTCCCATCATGTTTAAAGTGGTCCTGTAAGCCTCTTACTGGTGCAGAGGCGGCTTTGTTGTTTGCTTCTGGTTTAACTGTGCTTACTTCAATTAGAGACACACAAAACCTACCACACAAGTGGTTACGGCATGCCTGCAGCTCCTTATGCAAGAAGGCTGCAGCGGGCTTTGGCTAGGACCAAGGGGCCAGACACCCAATCATGTTCCCGAATCCCGTATGGATGCAGGCCAGCCTCCTGTGCCTCTGTGCAGCTTTGCAGCTTGAGGCTAATTTTGCAGAAGTGTCTTTGTGTTGAAAGATTTTGCAGCGTTTCAGCAAGATATTTAAGAGATCACTCATCACTTTATCGCGCGCATCCTCCTCCAACTGTCACTCGAACTGTCATTTCGAGCAGCAGTCCAAGAAACACTTCTCACACTGATAATGGAAGGGCAGAATAAACGAATTTCTACCGCCACATTTTGTGCCTCTGTGACCCTGTGCTGTGGGGAAGCAGTGAGAAAAAAAAAAACAAAACAACAACTTTCTGCTGCTTTTTGGTACAGAATCCTGACTCCAAAGAGATAACTGAGGAAAACCTTCTTCCTGCCAGGTCTGGCTCATGAGCCAAGCAACTGCTATTGCTGCAAGCTGCGGCAGCATGAAGAGGCGGGAAACGGCGCGCTACTGCTGCTGATACTGCCAGGAAGAGCCGAGAGCCCTAGGGCTCTCGCAGGTCTCTGCGGGCGCGCCCGGGGCCAGGCGGCGGGCGGGCGACCGCCGCCACCCAGGGAGCCGGCCACGGCTGCTCCCCCGGCAGCACAACACTCCAGCACACGCACTCCAGCACCTTCACTTGACGCATTGCAGGTACAACGCAACCAATCACAGGGCTTGACTCTTACCAGCTAACCATTGCAGAGTCCCTTTAGCCAATCAGGCGCTTCTTGACAAAGCGCTGCCTCAGAGCCTCAGCACCGCTGCCGTCGGCCGGCACCGTGCTAGTGAACGATAACCTTCCGCGAGAGAATATAGGCCCTACCGGCAGCGAAGGCGCAGGCGGGTGACTCGCTGTCACGGGCTGCCCGCCGAGGGAAGCGGGCTTGTCTGCTGCCGGCGCCTCATCCGCTGTCTCTCCTCCGCTGACGCTGTGGGAGCGGGTAGGGCGCGGAGCGCCTTTGCCCGCGCAACTAACGGCCGGCGCCCTAGCCCGCTGCGGCCCCGCTGGCTGGGGAAAGGGGAGGGAAGGGGGAAATAAAGCTGTACTCAGGAGCCTACGGGAAGCTCTACGAGATCAAAACGTTATGGGCTGCACAGCCCGGGCCCCTGCTGATGGTTACAATGTTAATCGCAACGTTAATGTCCCTTCGTGGAGACCGTGGAGCGTCACCAGAGTCGAGACGAGCCAAACCCTCAATTCAGGCAAATTTTAAAGTGACTCCAGAGGAGCTGCAGAGCCGCCTGTGCTGAGCCGGCAAATGGCATTTGCTGGAGACGCAGCTGAGAGCCCTGCAATGGCTTTCAGTTAATAGTGAATGCCAGCCATAGCACCTTTGAGAGTCAGGAGCAGAACCCGTAGTGCTGACTGCCGAGGGCACACCACCAGGGACATATCACAGACTGGTTAGGGTTGGAAGGGACCTCAAAGATCACCTAATTCCAACCCCACTGCAGTGGGCAGGGACACCTTCCACTATACCAGGTTGCTCAAAGCCCTATCCAACCTGGCCTCAAACACTTCCGCACAAGCCCCAAGCAAGGAGCAGGTGATAAGAGAAGCCTGGGGTCTCATCAAATTACTTAGATGTCCTGTAGCAAACTGAAGTCTCTACACATTGACAGTAATTCCTCAACATCCTTCCTTTGGGTGCCTAATTAAAAATTCACCCCTTTCATCATACCCTCAGGCCTAGTAATACACTATATTTTGAAGTGCAGGTTTAGATGTAGCTGAGTCTTCATGCCAATGCAATACTGTGGTTGCTGGCCTGGGACAGTGGTGTGAGATCCCTTACTTTACCGAAAACCCAGCTGGAGCAACCTGAATGAGGGTCTGGTAAGGGTACCTATAGAGGTTCACTCTTTCTTTAAAGATGCTGTCTGGCCTTAGTGGAGGATGAGGGGCTGACATGAGGATCTCAGGACAGTTGAGATTCTAATGATACCATACTTTTTACAAGAATCAAGCTAGATGACACCCATGAACCCATCATGGAACAGATTTTTTTTTATTTATTTTTTTTTTTCCAGAATCTTGTGGGCCAGCAGTACATCCCTGAGGAGAGAACAAGATGAGACAAACTAAAGAAAGAAGTGGGAGGAGGAGTAGGAAGATATCTATGTTTAAGTGATTTAACCCCATAATAATAACATAGTCTATTTTGAGTGATTTGCTTTTTGCTTATTTGATGCTGAATATCTTGTTTCAGTTATATTTTAGTTAAGGAGATTGGTGCTCTGTAAGCACCTAAAATAGAATATGGAGATAGAGACAGCAGAAGCAGAATGGATGCCAAAGTGAAATGATCTGGAGTGCTGAACACTGCATCAGCCCACACACAGGCCCACCCCAAGGATAGTGATGCAGAGAAGTCTTAGCTGGTGCTCCCTGCTTGGAAAAATGATGTCAGTATTGGCAGGCCTGAAACTAAACTGAAGGCTAACCAAAATAAACTCATTAAATGTACTTTCCTTCCATATAGCATAAAAATCCCACACCCAGTGCAGTGCACCTTTGTGTTAGGCTTGTGCTCTTTCACAGTGCTGCTGACAGCTTCACAGCCAGCACATAACAGTGCACTTACTAAATATAAGTGCTTCATTAGCATCTAGCATACTTCTGCTACCACAAAAATAACAACAAATAGACATACTGTGGGGAAGGTCAATGCTGCTTGCCAGGAAAGGTGTGCACAAAGTGCTAGATGCCTGGGACAGACCAGATTTTAGGCATTTTCTTATTTCACAGAAGCTGACAGCCCCAGAATAAGGCAGGCAGAACAGATTTAATTAGGTAGCTGATGTGAACCGTACCCTCACAAAAATTTTGGGAAGAATAGCAGGCCCTGTGAGACAGCTCTGTTTTCCAGGTTTACAAAGAAAATTGGGTTTCCTTGGTACCATTTCTAGAATTTCAATAATGGCGTGAGGTGCTTTAGGACAGAGGCACGTGTATACTCAGAGAGTCAGACATTTTAAGAGGCGAATGCCCCAAAGGTATAAACTTAAAGTTCTAGACAAAGAACTGGATCAAAGAGAAACCTTAAGGGGGATATCAGAGCCCATATTCTGGAGGCATCAGATATTCTTGTTTTAAAATTTCTTTCCACTAAAAACTTTACAGAAGATGAGCCCTCAGTAGAGGATTTCTTATGTACTGCATGCCAGGTTACCGGGGGAGATGCAGTCTGTTGGCTCTTTGGCAACTGATACTAGAAATGTATCTTCTCTTCAAGGTTGTTGGAAAACTTAGGGGTTTGTTTGTTTGGGTTCTCCCCCTTACCCTTCCCCCCCCCCAAAAAAAAAAAAAAAAAAAAGGTGATCTGACAGTTGGAGAAGTTATTTCATTATCAGGTGGGTTTGTTATTGCTGCAGGCACAAATGACACAAAACAGCTGTCCAAAGAAGTGTAACAATTCCATAGCTTTCTTCATTTGCTTAAGACAACTGAAAAGGAGTATCACCTGGTGATGATTCTGGCTTCCAGCATCTGTAATTTGGGATGTATGCATAACACTTCTCAACTCAGGCCAGCGCCATAGTATGGTGGATTAGAATACTGGATGTGTCCTGGACAGTAGTATTTGACATCCGTTAACTCAGGTGGTTTTGATTTTCTAGCTTTTTATCCCAAGGAATCTGACAAACTGATAGCAACTCCTCGTTTGGGTGTGTGAAAGGAAGGAAATAAATAAATCCCCAACTGATGCAAATTAACATGGATTTACTGACTTCAGGGCATGTTTACAGTTGTTAAAAATCTGTACCAGAAACTATAATTCTGATTTAAAATTATGATCATCCTTGAACTGCATACGTGGAGTTGTTGAATTTTTTGAGTGTAGCTGTAGCATGAAGTCTTATGACAACCCTACCTGAGCCAAAGAAAACGTTTTTTAACATAGACCTGTTACAAGATTGCAATTTGGGGTTAAGTAAGGGAGATTTGGCCGTTAGAGGATGTATCTGTGGATTTTACACATCTGTTTGCCTATGTCACATATATTATCATATACATATTTGTTAAAATTAGCTGGGACTGCTATTGCAAAATTAATGCCCCAGTTTGCCCCATAGGAATATTCAGATAAAAATTAATTACTCATGGACAAAGGAGAGGTGTAAAAAGAATGCAAACAGGCTCAAATCCAGATTATCTTTGAAGATTTATTTTTTCTGTGTTAAATAGGGGAAACTGAAATGAGAAACAACAGTACTGGAGTTGAATGAACAGATTTCTAGCCTTTCTTCAGGACTTAAATTCTGAAACATATTTGTTTACCCATGTTTATTATACAATTATAAGCTATATAGTGGTTCAAAATCTGTAGCTAACAGCAACAGCTGTTCGACTTTTTTCTATTAGTTATAAGACAGAAATTTGAACCTATAAACCAGTTTGTTGACCACTCCGTTTTCCTGCATATTCTTAAGAAATGAAATGCAGATGCAAGCCATTCCTAATAAGGTGAATCTAAGAATTTATTGTTACATTGTAGCATTTAAAATTTTGAGGAATCCCTCTTCTGAAATTAGAACCAGAACTTACTATTAGATGACTGTTTCAGTACATATCTTTTATACAGAACATTTTTAAATATTTGTGGTAAAAATAAGTTACTTCTCTTTGACAGATGTATTAACTGGAATATAGTTCATACACCTGCATCCAACAGTGAAGAAGCATGACATAGGTATGCTTCATGATATTATGTAAAATACGAAATATGTAGCAAGCACATACATAAATATTCTGTCCTCTTCTGCACTAGATTCTTAAAAAACAGAGGATACAATTCAGCTTTTTTCCATAAAAACACTGATAATGAAACATAAACAACACAGAAATGGAAGGAGTAACTTCTGTTTGTATCATGAATCATCCAATGTTTATCTTCATATGAAACTGGCAATTACAAAAACTGAGAAGGAAAATCCTGTTTTCATATGCTTAGATGTTTCTAGAGAACTCTTCATAGGACTGTGAAGGAAGGTAGTTTTTAAGACTGTGTGAACAAGCTTTTTTTTGTGTGTTTTTTTTTTTTTGTCATTTATTTTACATCTGTAATCTAGGGAAAAGCACTTAGGTTTAAAATAATCATTTTATAATGTTTAACCTGCAAGATGTGTGACTGAGTTTACGTATGCAAGCAGGGCTGTAATTCCCATCTGTACAAGTCTTTTTAAGATAGGATCTTTTAAGGTTCCCAACTCAAACTGCTTAAGTTTAAATTATGAAAGTTTCAAATTATTGGGCCTCAAGGATGCCAATTTACATAGCTATGTAAGAAAGGATTCACTAATTTAATTGCAATGTATAACTAATTTAGTTCTAACCAGCAGCTAAATCAGTTTTATATCACCATCTAAAACTTTACAAGACAACGGACACTCAACATAGGTAGCAACTACTATTATTCAATTATATAGATGGCCTTCTAACACTTAATGCTCAGTGAAAATCTGTAATTGTATGTGACTCTGATACATGCCAGTGGGAATGAAGCAAATATGAAGAAATCACAAGCATATGAAATATTAAGGTGTTTCAAGTTGTTTTCTCTCTCTCAAAAAAAGAAACATTAATCTACAGAAACATATTTTTCCATTTAAAAGAGCTAGTAGGTTTGGAAATGTAAATGTTAAGATTAAAGCAATTTTAATTTTCACATTTTGTGTAAATGTGGTCAAATTAAATTCTGTTCTAGCTCTTTATTTCAGTGGACTTCCACCCACTTATTTGCAAACTTAGTGAAGTTCATAGAACACTTTTATAAGGATACTGTCTTACATTTTCACAGCTGCCAATGGCATTTAGGAACATTAATTTTGTGGAAAATGGTGACCCCCCAGAAACCATTGCCTATATGAACAGAATTTTACACAGAGAGTAACAAAATATTATCTGATGTACCAAAAGAATTCCAGTTGACTTGAAAAGCAGTAAAACAAATTCAAACCCAGTTTGTGTAGCTCACACATAAAACTGGCAATATTATAGTCAGGAAAACTAGTTACGAATTTGTTCCAGTTGCACAGATGTTGCATGCACATATATACTTGATTTTGGCTTCTTATACTTCTAACATATACTGGTTATCTATGCTTATCACCATAGTATCAATCCCCCTGCTGTGCATTAAATGATACGACAAACTTCTATCTGTTCTCGCACCATTCTCCCAGGGCAGATGTTTGTGAAATGTTTTAATTTGGATTTTTTTTAAGTTATGTATGTATAATACGAGAAAGCAGTTGATATATATGAGGCCCTGTTCTCCAGTCCTTATGTTTAATAAAGCCAAGGTTGAAAAGCACACCTTACATATAAGTAGTAAGGTTTATTATTTTTCCAAGTTCTTAACAGAATTCCTCTTACATCTTAAGCTGCTCCCAAAGAATGGACATGTTAAGTCTCTGCAGAAAGAGAGACCAACACTGTAACCTTCTATCATATTAAGGCAAAATTTAGAAATGTAATACTAGGTAGACCGGCTGCAAATCTTTCATCACTGCAATTATGTATTTATAAAATAAGCTTTTGCTAATGTTACAGCTTAAACAGAAGTCAACAAAAGTAAGCTTACTGATAGACAGTAAAATAATTCAGAACAGTAAATCAGTCCAGTCAGAAATTCATCTTAATAGCTACCGCACAGCCCTCTGTTCATAAAAAAGCTCAGTAGCCATGAGATGGCCAAGGTCTACGGTTTTAGGCACAAATAGGGAGTAATTTCATGGCCCAGTCCAGCTCCCAGTGAGATCCAGGGGATTTTGAATGAGACTGTAGAAGATCCTGGCAAATCATTTGACATTGTACGTCATTGGAATGACAGGGGCATTTCTTGTCTGCCCACAGCAGAATGTAAATTTTAAGAGAAATCTATCTGTACTATTGAGTGAAAGCAGATTTACAAGGAGCAGGCAGATGTCAGTTTAGATGATTTTTTCCTACACGAAATAGGCAGCAAAACATTAGTATTCTGGTTTGTTTACATTTGTCACTGCCATTTGTCAAATTAGGAAGAAACCCCTCCCCTTAGTCAGAATGTTATTTTGGAGCATTAGCTATGAAATATTTTCAAATACACAATGATGCAATTTAACAGAAACTACTGCAGAACCTAACTGTGGCACCTTAATTCATCACCCTGGTATTTACCTTAAAGCAAGATAACTATACTCCAAACTCCTTTAAAAGTAACTTTATTTTGAAAATCCATTTTTAATATAAATGAATTATTAGCATGAACCATCAAGAGTTAGAAAAAGGAGACAAAATGGTTAAAAAAGAAAAAGTAATAAATGCACAGTAATCCTTATACTCAAAGGCCTGTTAATCTTTGGCAGCATTCACTGTCACTGAGAGGCTTTTTTGCTTCACATTTCCAAGCTTCTTCATGTACATCCAAACATACTGATAGTTTGTAAGAGAATCTACATAAATTTTAAGTACTTGTCTCATAGGCTCTCTTAAACAGCTAAATCCCTTCACTTTTTAACAAGTAAAGGTTTGGATCAGGAAGAACATCCTACATGCACTTAAAATTAACTTTAAGGACTGAAATAAGGCATGGACATTCTAAACCATCACATATAAATGTTGGTAAGATCATTCTGATAATATCTTCAGCCTTCCACATTAGAAACATTTTGGCCAAAGACCATGAGACTGCATTAGCTATGCATCTTTGTGAGGTAGTTGTACAAATTTCTTAGCCTAGTATTTATAAAGAATTCAGTGCTTCAGTAATGAAATCTTCACCTTTGTAAGACCAGCACAATGAGGTGAATGATTTGTACATGAACATTGTCCTTCACACATCCCTGCGAGACTCGGGGAGTTCCAAGATTCACTTATCCAAGCAAAAGCTCTTGTAGTCCACAGCAGTCAAACACTGTGCCATGTTTTCCAGAAAGAAATTAAGCTGGGAAAATAAGAGCTTAAATTTGTTGGTCTGGTTTGAAAACAAAAGATTAATTTGTGTGTTCTTCCGTAGGAAAAAACAAAACAACCCGCAAAAAAATCCAAACCAAACAAACCAAAACCCACCCCAAAACCGACAAATCCAAAGTCACTGCTTACTAGTTGGGAAAAAAAAAAAAAAAAAAAAAAAAAAGGTTTAAAAAAAAGGAGGTTGGGCTTTCTGCATCAAAAAATTGAAGCTGTCTATAAAACTTATTCACAGACTAGCCATCTGCAAACTGGTTTTCTGACACAATTTCATATACTAGTTCCTACACAAATGTCAGGATGGTTTAGGGACCAAACTATGACACATTAAATGGGGGGAAGGGGGGTAGATTGCTATTGGAAATCCTCCTAGATTGTAAACAGGTGTTGTGTTTGCCAACCTATCACTGTGTTCCAGAAAGTTAAGCAAATAAATTGTACTTCAGTAGTAAAGCTATTGAAATTATTAAAAAACCAGAACTCTACGGATTTTCTTTATTTCAAACACTAAAAGCATGCATAATTTTTCAAACAGAAAAACGGATTTTAAAAGATTTAATAATACTCTGCAAGCAGCTCATCAGAATCATGACCACACTGCAATTACTGCTTGCTTCCCAATCCAGAGAGAGGCCCAAACTAAAACCTTAGCTAAAAATATCTTTAATTACAAATAAATTCAAAGTCTAACAGTACCTCTCATGAATGGAACCAAGATCCTTGATTCCAGTGTGTGTGTGTCGATGGCTGGTTGTGCTTCCATACCTATTAAAGGAGGTACAGTGAATGCTGCAATATTTACCCCAGTTATCATCAGCTGGACAAAATCCTCAAACCCAGAGCAGGCAGAGGAGAAAGAAAACATCTGACATGAGGACATGCTTTTGTTGCCCCCCACTTGTAGGCTGCTATTCTGCTGAGCAGCGGCTGAAGTGATACGTCAATTGTAGAGCGTATGATTCTACACTGAATTTTATCGTCATCCAGATTTTGGTGCTTGACAAAAGCCCTACAATTTAAAAAACCGTCAGCTGTGCTAGCTTCAATATACCAGCTTTACAGCCCCTGTCGTACCCCCTTGTCTTCAGAACGAAGAGTGCTTTACTAACACCCCCGGCATCACCCTCTCCCAGGTGCCGCCCTGGGCTCCCGGTGGAGCGTAGGCCACCGGACTGCCGGCGGGAATGCTGTTTAGAAAAAAAAAAAGCACCAGAAAAACACCGTCTCGGCCGAGATTCCCTTCGCCCCCGGGGGTCCCAGCCTAGAGAGAAACGAGGGGATAGAGAGAGGCCGGGGGGTCCCCACGGCGGGCAGCTCTCTCCCGGCCGGTCCGGCCGCCCCCCGCCGTCTCTGCTGGGAGTTGCGGTCGGCGGAAAATGGCCACTGTGGGCCCAGGCCGCCTTCATCCCCCGCCGTCTGACTTGGGGGCGGGAGGGGCGGCCTCGCAGCCGGCGGCGGGCTACGGTCCGGGCGCGGGACAAGGGCCTCTCCCTCGGGCAGAGGGGAGCTGCTCGCCCGCCTGTCCCTACGTGGCTTACCTCAGGGGGCGAAGAAACAAGGGAAGGGGAGAGAAAGCCGGCGGAGGAAGAGTGGGGGCACCGCGAAACTAGAGCCCGCCGCGGCCCCGGCTCCCACAACGGGCAGACGGCCGCCGGCCGCCCCCCTGGGGGCGAGGAACCGTGGGGGAACCGGGCGGGGGAAAGCGAGCCCGCCGGAGGAGGGGCTGGGCCGCAGAGGGGGCAGGGCTGCTCGCCGCAGTCACCCTCACACATACCACGCCGGGGAGGAGGAAAAAAAAAGGCCCCTCTCCGGCGGAGGGATACAGCCCTACATATATAGTGGGGCGGAGCAGACACATGCTCCCAGAACTTCTCCAAGCCGCGCAAAGGAGGAGGGAGTCGCTGCCGCTCGTGGTCGCGCAGTTCGTGCAGCTGCCGCTGGGCCCGCCGCTGCTTCGCCATGGTAGGTACCTCCACCGATCGGCTCCGACGCGGGGCGCTCGGGCTGCTGCGGGGGCTGGCACGAAAGGGGCTCGCTCGAAGGTGGCTCGCTGAGGAGCTGATGGCTCGCTAGAGATGGGTTCTTCCCGTAAGGCAGCGGGGAGGGGGGAGTGCCGTGGGAAGGGGCAGCGGGAGACCATAGCCCTTCCCGCCCTGGTCCCCGCGGGGTGAGCAGGCTGGTAGCAGCAGGCCCCCCCCCCCGCCGTGCTGCGCGGGATCGCCGATGAACTGTGGCCTTTCCTCTTCCGCCGCCTCATTCCCTCGGGGCCTACGGCCGTGTGGGCGCCCCGGCCCCGCGCCCTCCCGCCGCGGCCCCGCCTCGCTTTTCCCGGCGTGCGGCGCTGGCTCCCCTCCGGAAAGGGCCGGGCTCTTCCCCCCTGGGGCCGTGGCCCCTCAGGCGTGCAGGGCGCTTTTCGGGGCGGGGGCTCTGCCGGGCGGGGCTGCGGGCAAGGATCCTGCTCGGCTCCGGCACCAGCTGCACTGCGGAGGGAGCGGGGGGGTGGCCCGGGGGAGGGCACCGCGCTGCAGCTACTGCGCCCTCGGCCCCCATCCCCCCAAAAACGCAGCAGCAGTGTTTGCATTACATCATGTCTCCTCCTCTTCCTCCCCGGTCCCCGCGCATTCCTCGGCTGGGGGGACCGGGGCGCACTGTACTTTGCTCGGTTGGAAACGGCCCAGCGTCCGCTCGGGGGTTTCGGCTTGGGGAGCGCAGCCTCCTTTCTCGCTTGGCGGAGGAGGGGGGCTGCGGAGGAAGAGCTGCTGTCTCAGCCGCTGCGGGGAGGGAATGGAGAAGGGGAAGGCTGGTTGCGGAGCCCAGGCACCCTTACTGCTGAAGGATGAGGACGTATTGTGGCGGGCGGCTGGAGAGGGAGGGGAAGTGGGGACGCACTGCAGTAGCGGGTGGCTGCGGCCGCTGGCTGGGAATGGCGCCTGTTGCGTCCGCGGGCTGCGAGCCACCCGCTGCCCGGCCCGGCGGCGCCAGCCTCCGCAGTGAGCCTCCCGCAGCGCGCCGCGGGCGGGCTCGAGGACCGCTTTCGTTGCCCTCCGGGCGCTGCGGTGCCAGCCCTGACTCCTCGCAAACGAGGACAAGAGGAAGGGCTGGGATTTTCCCGGCGGTTTTTCTCTCCCTACGAGAGAGGCGAAACGGTTGTAGGCTGACCTCTAATTGCATTTTGACCATCTGGGTGTCCCTCGGCTCTGTCTCTCCATGTCCCCTTCCCGTCGGGGAAGGCTGACATCACCGGGACAGGATTTGATGACTTGGCTGGGTGGGGTGAAGGCTCCAGCCCTGGGTACCTTTGCCCTGTAGTAGGGGCGAGTGGTTGTGCCTGTTGCTTGGGAAAGTGAACCCCATGGCAGTTTAGGGTCTGTTTGTGTCCTTCTGGCATCACGGTGTGTGCAGAGCTGGTGGTTTTGTTTTGTTTGTTTTGTTTTTTAATCGAAATACGATTTTTAGAAACATCCATTTAGCTACGACTAATGGGGCACACTGAGCCGGTACTGTGGGTTGGAGGCTTTTGCCGAGGTGTGGCTCTGTTTCCTGTTCTGCAGGGCATGGAGTCTGTTATGTAAATTCCTTAGATAATCTTCAAGTAAAATCTTCCGTTTTCTGGAAAATCACAAAGAGGCATACAAAAAGTCGAACTGGTTTTTGAACACAAGCGTTCTGCTGTTATTAAAGGAGACATTAAATTTGAACCTTGTCTTTAGCTGTTAGCATTTCTACCTTTTTCTCCCTCCAACCCACTGTGCGTATGGGAAGTTGTTTAATCATTGCACACAGGCGTTAAAATGTTTTAAGAAAAAAACCCTGAACCCGAGTCCCAGCACCTATTTACAGGTGAAATCTGTGTATGTCACTTAACATATACAGCAGGCTTTCCATCCTGCTCTATTTTGCTGTGCAAGAGCTTAACAGATTGTATATAGCTTGTTAATTCTCCATTGTATTTGTTGCTGTTTACTGCAGTTAAGTGTTTTTTATACTTGAATAACGGTATTTTAAGACAAAAGACAAGATGCTGTTGATGTACAAAATTTTCTGTTCTATTAGTAAAAGTTGTCCAATAAAATGAATTTAAAAGGAGTTAATAGCTTGTATTTTCCAGTATCTGTGACTAGACATTTAAAATCCAATTTTTTTAATTACTAGGAAAGTGCATATTTTTCTGTAGAGGACTGGTTAGCCCCAGCCAGCAGTTTTTTGTGATGCGCTACCTGTACCAAAGGGAGAGGCTTCTGGAAGGATGTGGCTAGGACAGTTAGGCTTGGGGAGAACCCATTTCTAGTACTGAGCTGTGTACACTGTTGGATGCAGCAGTGGCCTCTTGAAAGAAGGTCATAAGCAGGTATTTTAAATTTTGCCATTTAAAATAATGTAATAAACAACCCATATATGATTGTGAGGCACCTTAAACTGCTTGGCTGAATGGAAAAACAGTGATGCCTGAAAACGGACATTTTCTTGGTCAGAGATGGCAAGAATCTCTTTGATACTGAGCAGTAACTCCTCCTCATATCGCATCACAGTCCTTTCCGTTAAGCTTACAGTAGGCTAATGCTTGGTGCAATGTGGTGGGGGAGGGCAGGCTTCAGTAATGGTAGATCACTAGGTGGCACACTTGTCATTAGTCCACTAATGTGCAAATACCCCCCACGCAGTATTAGGGTCACTATACTACTGGAAATGACAACTGATGTGATGTGAAACCCCAAACACATCTCATTAGTCAAGAGAGGCATGAAATCCTTAATTGCAGGGAGCCTGCCCTGTGTCCTTCACTTGACCAAATTGGATTCTCCAAGCTGAAGGATGGCATGTGTGGTTCTTCATGTGCAGTTTCAAAACAAGTTAGCTTCTTTGCTTTTGGAAATGGCTGTGTGATGTAGGTGAGTGAAATTTCCTTGCAGAGGCAGAGTTCATGGTGTTGAAAGTGGCTTTGCAAAGTAATGATAAATTGCTACTGAAATCTCCAGAAAGTATATTGAAGCTTGATAGAGCTGGAAGTAAAAAATATTCTAAAATGTTCTATTCTTCGTGTAGGCTGATCAGCTGACTGAAGAACAGATTGCTGGTAAGTGTGTTGATGAGAAGAATTTATTTTTTTTTGTTAACTCCTGTGACTAAAAGAAAATATGTTACCTCAAGCATATGGAAAAAACCCTTTCTGACAATTTCAAATCTGTACTAACACTCAAAACCACTCATTTTAAGAACAAAACAAAAAAAAAAGCCCACATTGTGGAAAATTACTGGTTCATTGCCTTGTAATTTAGATTGCTTATTATCTGTAGACCGAGGAACAATTTTTAGACTTTCAGACTTGAGCCAAGTCCTAGATTTCCTCCAAACAGAAATAATTGTTAGATTCAAGTGAAGTCAAAGCAGGCCTAGGTACTCTTTTCTTTTTTAATAAAATGAAGATAAGCTTAAAATGGCAACAAATAAACCTAAAATGGATTAATATAGGCCAGTGTCTTTAAATAATTTCTAACGTTGTCTGCAATTCAGACTGGAGAAGTCACATTATTTGGCCTTCTGGAGACCAGTCACCCACTTGTGGCTGATGCGCATTCGTATTGTCTGCTGCCTTAAAAATAAATGGTGAATTACAACACTTACTGCTCCTGTAAGTCTGTGAATGATGAAGGGAACCCAGTGAGTCGCTTTAGTTATTCCAAGTAGTTGCTGTTTATGGTGCAGCTGTGCCTCAAGATATTGTTGAATATCATAATCCTGATATTCAGCATAATATAACACATTATGTTGAAATGTGTTATACAGTTCTAATGCAGATAATAATCACATGAAAGAAGTTTGAGTATACTATGCCAATTATGTGTTGAGACTGTAAGTAATACTTTTTATTAATATTTAAGTGTTAATTCTGTCCAGACATGGAAAGTTAGAGATAATGTTTCTTAAAATTGTACTAGGCATTGTCAGTTAAGTGCATTTTTACGAAGCAGTTTTCTCATGCTGGTGATATTGCTAAACACTGGGACTGTTTCTGCCTTTAGAGTTCAAGGAAGCCTTTTCCCTATTTGACAAAGATGGTGATGGTACTATCACAACGAAAGAACTGGGAACTGTCATGAGGTCACTGGGTCAAAATCCAACAGAAGCAGAATTGCAGGATATGATCAACGAGGTAGATGCTGATGGTAAGTGTTGGAAGGTAGTTATTAGTGCATGACCTCCATACCTGGGCTTGGACTGGGTAGGCAAGGTTCTGTGACATTGATCTCTTGAAGCAGTTTTGAAATACTCAATAGAATCTAAACTGAGAGGGCTATAAATCTTGATTGCTCTGCACAGCAGTGAAAGATGCTAGCAGTATTAGTGAAAATCTTAAGGGGATGGGCAGAGACAAAATTACACTGTTAGCCTTTAATATTTTATAGGCCACAGGCTTCCTATTGCTATCTTATTTGCGCTGACCTACTGTTAACCTGTGTTTCCACCCAGCTTTTTTATACATGTTTCAGCTTGCGTTGGTCTTAATAGCTGTACTAATGTCTGTGGGTTTTTTTTTCTCAAGCCAGAAATGTGGTAGGTGTGGAATATAGTGCTAATTTCCAAGAATTGAAAATGCAGCAGGGAGAGACTGTATAGTCTAATGCAGTACATTAGATCCCTAATAGATGGGATGGAGTGATTGGAGGCAAAGGCAGAAAAAACATCCTGTATTAAGTCTTATCAATTATTTTAAATGAATGTCAGAAAGGGTAACCGCACATCTTGTTTCTGAGACTCGAGGTAGGCTGGGAGTTGTAAAAATGCTTTCCCCTGCACAGAAATATCAAAGCTTTGATCTTGTATGTTTTTGTGATAGTGATATTTCTCTTAACACCTCTGTGAAAGTATGCTGGCAAGACTATAGATTATCTAATTGTCTGTCTACATTTCCTTTCCTAAAAGTGTAAGTTGACCTTAATTGTTAACGCTTGGATGCAGATACTAAAAAGCTTCACTGTTTGCAGTGCTACAAAGAGTTTGTATCCAGTGGCTTCTCCAGGTTGCAGTCTACTTGCTGCACCAAGTAGATTAAAAATGAAAGGAAACTCAGGCTTTTAGAGAAGTATGCCTGCTCATCTGTTTAAACTTGTTCTATGGCAGAATGCTTTCACTGAGGATTTTTCAAAGTTGAGTATGAGACCTGTGTTAAGATTTTAGCTGGTAGGTAAAGCTGGCTGTGATAATAAGTCGTTGTGTATGTCCCCATCTGGAATCCCTAAGCTTCAAAGGTTTTCTTAAGCTACATCTATGTAGTTTCTCTGCTATACTTACCCAGTGAGTTTGTGTACTTCCCTCAAGCAATGGCTACATACTGGTAGCACAGTGAGCTATTATGGGGCTTTTGGCATATAGGGCTGAATCCTGACTTTTACAAATCTAATTTCTGCTGTTTTAGAGACTTTTTTTCACCGCACCACTTTTTTTGTAGCTTTGAGCAGCCTGAAGTTTGAATGGAAAGCTTAAAAATCTTAGGGATGAGGTCTCGATATTACCAGGGATCTTCAGTTTGGCAGTGAAGAAACACCTGTAACACCTGCTTCTGTACTTCCCAGAAATAACAAATAATAGCATCTTCTCTTGTCACTGGAATTTGCAGATCCTTGTTAAAGGATGTGCACCACTACCAGTGGTGCATTACTTCTGTGATGTACAACATAATGTTGTTAAGGAAGTTGATTTTAGCAAGGAACAAAAATTTGAGTGGCTTTAGTGAAGTGTTATTTTCTCAAATTTCAGATATCCTGGATTTGTAGTGCTGGCTTTACAGGGTGTTCTTTTCTGGAATCTTCCACAGCAATTGGGAGATTCTAAAGAAACTAAACAATTAGTTTTGGGGAGTATGCTGTAGTACTGATCAACCTTGGAGCATCAGAATGACACTTTGCTTGCAGCTTGAGTGGCAAATGATATGGCTTGACCTGGAGAGAAGGCAACAGCTGATTTTTGTTGCGCTGAAACACTTGTGACAGCCGCTGCTGCACGGTGTAATAGCAAAAAGGCAGTGGCAGCAATCTGGGGAGAAGATCCAGTTTTTCTAGAAGAATGGTTTACAGAGCATCTGTCTTGTCAGTGGCTAAGTTAAAAGCCTGATTTTTCTTTTCTGTATAAAGAAAAGCATGGAAGTTTAATGTTTTGAAGTTTCTTTTTATTAAGGCAATGGCACTATCGACTTCCCTGAATTTTTAACCATGATGGCCAGAAAAATGAAGGACACAGACAGTGAGGAAGAAATCCGTGAGGCATTCCGGGTCTTTGACAAGGTATTATTAAAAGTACAAATATTCTTTAGAAGCTGTAATTATATCCAACTTCTCCTCAGTGTTTTCTCTATCGTGTCTTGAAGGAAAAGGAGTCCTCTAGTAGAAATAGAGGAATTGGCAAAAGAGCTGGGATTGCTCTGGAAACAGAACCACGACTATTGCAGGCTGGTTCTGCCTGCTTTACCACAGCAGGTTTAAGCTTTAGGCTCACCCATAAGGAAAACCTTCTGGCCTTTCCTTAGGAGCAGAGATTAGCAGAACTTGATGGTTGTGGGGTCGATGTTTTTGTTTTGGTGGGTGAGATTTTTTTTCTACCTCTTGACTTTGGGAGAAGGAGGATATGTTTGTATGCATGCACAGGGTTTTATACTTTTTGGAAGCTTTTGAAGCTAAGGTGAAGTCACTAGTATTCAGAAGAATATGAAGCATTGCATGTTGTGTTTTCAAGATGTGGACGTTGAGATTGCTTTCAGGAGAACTTGAGTTTGACTCCCTTTGTCGTCTTTAAAGATACCTGGGCATACATGATAAAGGCCTATTATTTCTAGAACAGGAGTTCCCATCTTTTGATTGATTGGATATGACAGATGTTGCAAGAGAATTGTGCTAAGTAATGGCTGCTGCAGCTGCTAAGCTGTTGCACACGTGTGTGTGGAAGGAGGCCTTACTACTTCTTTTTATTGATAAAAGTGGCTATCTGTAGTACTTAGCCAAACATGCTGGAAAATTGTTCAATCATTTGTTGAGTACCTGCCCCGTGGGGTTATTTCTGAAGACTGTATTTGTGTTCAAAGCCACTGAGGTAGCTTACTGGTGATGGTCATATGAACTCCTGCTCTAAACTAGTATATTTTTCCAGTCTATGGAAGAGGACATTGTCTCAAATTGCCAGGGATGAGCTTTCTTTTTTTCTTTTTTTTTTCCTCTTTTTTTTTTTTGTTTTGTTGGTTTGTATTGCCAGAAAGCTTTTTCACAACTCCTTAGAGTTTAAAGGCTTGCTTTGAAGGTTTGTTCTATATAACATCTTGTCCAAGAAGCCTAAGCAGTCTGATTTTACAGGTAGTATTACACAAAAGAGAAAGCTGACTTTATTCTTGCTGGCAGGGAAATTGGTGGGGTGTTTTTTCTTTCCCTTTCCTAGGCAGTGGAGGCTGAACAAAACCCATTTTGTTTATGGGTTTATTTTTGAAAGCTCTTAAAAACATTGCAAATACCTTATCCAGCTACAAATCAGACATGCAGTTATTCTTGCAGTACAGTAATTGTGCACAAAGACACGGTGGCATGCATGCTTCGTAAGGCAATGAGACTAGTATGTATTGTAGAGCTATAGAGTGTACCAGATCTGTGTATCTATCCCAAGTGCTGTAAGGCTAGTTTGAAAGCAGTTACTGGAAACCCAGATGTAGTTTCAGAGTTAATCAATGCCAGGTTAATCGTGGTCTTTTCCAACTTCTTCCTCGCAGGATGGCAATGGCTATATCAGTGCAGCAGAGCTACGTCATGTTATGACAAACTTAGGAGAAAAGCTAACAGATGAAGAAGTAGATGAAATGATCAGAGAAGCAGACATTGATGGGGATGGGCAGGTCAACTATGAAGGTAAAAAGATGCTTGTCTTGTCTCAAAACAATTACTCTGAGTGAAAGCCTCTTGCATAGGGCATAAATTTCTAGTACTGGAGGCACCAGTTTGTTTGGTTGTTTACGTCTGTGGACAAAGGCCTACATTCAGTGAAAGGCTTTTTTATGTCAAGTGTTTTTAAGAGGCTTCTCAGTTGATATACTCAAACAATAAATCACAGTGACTTTTTATCGTTTCAGAATTCGTACAGATGATGACTGCAAAGTGAAGAGACCTCCTTTACACCTTTTTTCCTCTAGAAGAATCAAATTGAATCTTTTACTTACCTCTTGCAAAAAAAAAAAAAATGTTCATTTATTCATTCTGTTTCTGTATAGCAAAACTGAATGTCAAAATACCTTCTGTCCACAAACTGCATGTAATGGTTGGTGGTCCTGTCCCCAAAAGATAAACATCAGTTTTACAATATAAGTAATTGTACTACCTTGAAAATAAAAAAAAAAAAAAGGAAGCACTTAGTGAACTCAAAAGTTCCATTTGCTAATGACTATTACACTGTTTGGGCTGGCCAGTTTTTCATGCATGCAGCTTGACAATTGAGCACAGTCAGACATTTGTATTAAAAGGAAAAAAAAACAACCTAAAGGATCCATCCTTTTGTTCAGTGGTGGATTCTAGTTCAATTTGTAGTATAAATTGTCATAGCTGGTTTACTTTAAAATTGGTTTATACCTCAGGATGGTATGCAGCAAAATGGTTGAAGGATGCAAAACTTAGAGAAAATGCCCTAAAGGTTGAATGGTTTTCCTGTACGTAGCAGTGTGCTCCAAAAATATGATGATCTTAACTATGGATGGCATGTCTGTGTTAAAATACCGGTTTAACATTGTCTGCATTGCACTATAGTGAAACGGGTGTCGGGCTGTTACCGTTCACAAAAATTTTTAAAAGAAACCTTCACCAAGGGAGCATCTTTGGACTCTCATATTTTTAAAACCTTCTGTACCATGACTTGGAGCTGGCGGAGTAGCCTGTGGACTTCAGCACAACTATCAACATTGCTGTTCAAGATATTACGATTTATGTCCATTCCAAGTTGTAAATGCTAGTCTTTTTTTTCCAATAAAAGACCATTAACTTAAAGGTGGTGTTAAATGCTTTGTAAAGCTAAAATATATATATATATAATTGAGATACTAAACCAAAAAAGCGGTAGGAGGGAAGTGTTTCTATGAATGACTTGCTGCTAAATTATAATGCACATGTATGCAATAAGTTATCCCCTATCTTTTCAAGATGGCAAGAACTGACCTCCTGTAACCCAAGACCTTTGCTATAAATAAATGAACTTGTGCTTGCCTTTCATATTACGACAATGTTAATTTAGTTGGTCTCAAAGTCGTGTAATGCTGACTCGTCAGCTATCAGCACAGAAGTAACACCGCATTTCACTAAACTGGAGAGCTCTGAGCATGCATGTCAATACTGGGGAAATGTGTAGGTTGCTTATGTTTTTTTAACAGGTTATAGAAACTAGTTGGAGAACTTAAACAGCATGGACTTCATTGATATGATTCAAACATGCAGAAAATGCATTTCTCTGCCCACCCACAGAAAGAAAACAAAAGGGTATTTCTTTTACAATATGCTTTAAAAAAAGAAAAAAGCCCATTTCCAAAAAAAGGCTTTATGTCTTGGCTTCTCAAACACTTGCATGAATTTCGTGGGGTGGAGAAGAGGACGGGTTAATTTGAAAACCATCTTGTTACTTCTGCTTTGCATGCACTTGCAGTGCTTAGTCATTCCAGGTCTCTGAGTAGGTGTTCTCTGATCCTTCAGCTTCCCCATGAATGAGTGGCAAAGCAGCCATGTGCACTCTTCTTTGTCTGAAAGAAGAATGCCTTTTTTAATTTTTTTTTTTTTTTTTTTAAATAGCAGAGCCTCCATGTGGCAGGCTTCTATGCTTGGGAGGGAGGGACAGACTACAGCTTAATTACTTGACTGTAAGTTTGTTTCCAAATGTAACTGGAGTTGCAAACCTTAATTGCTTAATTGCCATTGGTTTTGGAGAGTGTTGATGCTATCTCTTGAAAAAGATGCAAGTCTCCGTTCATCCTGTCTAACTGAGGTGCCTGTTAAGAACTTGGTTGCTTAAAATATGGCTTTGCTCAGTGGGGGTTAAGAGATACTTCCAGAAGGCAATTGAGACTATTTGCCTTCAGTGACTATATATTTTATTTATTTATTTTTTCTGGGAAGGGGTGGGAGGAGTTCTGGGTGACTAGGGACCCAGACACCTTAACCAAGTGCCTAAAAGTTAGATGGGCTGAATGTAGGCAATTCTTTAGATCTCTAGTTGTTGCAAAGGCTTTTTTGCTGTGGCTGCATATGCTGTCCTAGCAAATCTGGCCAGGATGATGGGAATGTCTGACTACCGTTTGAAAGTAGAGTCTTGCCTGGCAGCTGCAAACCGCTACTTTGGTAGTGCTTGAGAATGGCTGCACTGATTCTGTAGACCAGCTTTTAAAGAGAATGTGCTAAAGCGACAGGCAAGGTAGGAGCAATGGTTGCTGCTCTGAACTAATTACTTCTTCTGCCTGAGTGTGCAGAGAGATCTGTCTAGTAGGTAAATGTTTCTTACCATCTTATCCGTCATTCACTCACGGTTGGTAGGGTAGTTCATTTAAGAACAGCTGCTTTTAGCTTATTCAGTGCGCTCTGTGCTTGCTAGCAAAGGGGCCTCATTGCTGCAAGAGGTTCTTGGCTTGATTAGAAGTTGTCTGGCAGTGTGCAGTGTTGGTATGCCCTGTAACTGAATCTGCCTGGAGGTATCTAATTATTAACTGACTTCAGTACCACATCAACCTCGAGTAGATGTATCCTCTGTACAGGACTTTAGCTTTGTTCCCTTCTGCATAGTGAATATGTAGAGAAATGAAATGGTGTCATCAAGGACTTATTTTCTTTTTTTTTCTTTTTTTTTTTTGTTTGTTTGTTTGTTGTGTGTGTTGGTTTTTTTTTTCTTCCTGTGAGTGTGTGTGTGTGTGGCTTTTGCTTTTTCCAAATGTGAAAGTGTGGGCTGGATACACTTGGTGCATGGCTTAGAAACATGGGACTGGAAAGAACTTCCTGGGTCATCAGATCCAGTTCCCTGCTATTGCGGGCAACCGTGTCACATAATCCTTTTAATAAACTGATCAAGCTTAACCACCTGCTTGTAAGTGGCTTGTTTTCATGGAAGTTCTGTAATTCATGTTGCTTTCAACTGATGCAAGTAATATATGAAATATGAAGTTAATCAAAAGGTCCTCCGGCTTAGCTTTAGGTTTATCATTACACTTATTTATCTGACTTGAACCTGTTATTCTTTGCACAACACTCAGGAAAGTGTTGAATCTTTACACCCCCTTGCTATGAATAAGAGTTGGTGTGCTTGCTTATTTTTTTTAATGGAAAAGATGGATGTCTGGCTTGTTGAAATTTGTTAGATATGTTAATTGTTAAGGCAAGAAGCAATTGAGTTACTTGTATTTGATACATAAATTTAAGGCTAGAGTATACATAACCATTTTTAAAACACATCAACTTGCAGTGTAGTTTTATATTTAATACTGAAATTGTACTGCTAAAATTTAAACTGCTGTTAATCATATTCCTCTTCTGATCATAATGAAAAAATAAAGGGTAAGAAAATGCTTAACATAGCTTATTCATTATCATGCTTATTTTATTAATAATTCAGGCTCTGAAACATCTCCAGGTATGGGGCATTTATTTTGTTTGCTGGGGGTGGGGGGAGGAGGAGGGTGTGTGTGAGGGAGTAGGTTACTGATCTGGTAGAAGACTCTTATTCACCAACCATTTGTCACAAGTGTGCAGCTTCAGAAACACAGATGCTATCAAAAACTGATGAAGAAATTACACTACACTTCTGATGTGTTAGGTGCATGTGTGGGCAGTGTACAGTGCTGGCACTGCCAGGTCCCCGCCCTGCCCAGGTGAGTGGGGAGGGGGGGATGAGCCTGTACCTTCATCCCTGCACTGAGTACATGTGATGTGAATGGAGATCTGTGCTCCAGTGTGATGCCATCCTAAACTAAAATTGCAGTCTTGGGGTTTAGAAGCAACAGAGTTAATACAGCTTGCTTTTTACCGGCCATGAAACTTAAGAGGAACCCTGTCTTACTGCAATCTAATTAGGGTGTTTTTTTTGGTGTTGGTTTTGTGTTTTTTTTTTTTTGGGGGGGGGGGGGGGGGGTAGGGGTTTTTGGTTTGTTTGCAAAATTTAGTTACTGAGTGAAATCTGTCAGAAAGGACTGTAGCGGGGCTGCAACATGACTTCTGACCATAGACGTCTAGCCACCAAGTGAAGATGGGCAATGAAGGCTGATGCCATGTTTCTACTGACTGATATTTATTGTAAATTGTATACTTGCATATAGAGCAGAGGGACCATTAAAATCAGTATGACAAACACATAAAATTGGGGGGGGGGTTTCACATAACAGCAGTGCAATTCCAAGCCATTGAAGGTGTGGTTTGGGGTTTTGTTTTGGGTTTTGTTGTGTTTTTTTGTTTTAGGTTTTTGTTTGTTGTTTTTTTGTTTTTTTTTTTTTGATTGTGTGTTTTTTTTTTTCTTGGGTTTTTTTAATCCGAATACAAGAGTTTGTTTTTTTTTTTTTGAGTAATATATCAGGTGATGAATTGTGTATGGATCTGGAGCGCCAAAGATTCCAACATATTATTTGCTATAGAAAATTTGTATGAAGGCTTAAGTACTTAAAAAATCATGTTTTCTAAGAACCCATATCAGTGGGTATCCTAGGAAAACATTGAGAAGATAGAAGCTTTGTCGACTGGGAAATCTGGTACAGATCTCCTCCAAAGAGCCACTTTCAGTTGCCTCATAAGCCAGCATCTGCAGAAATACTGAAGGAATTATTCATAGTGCAGCCTTTTCCTGGCAAAGACATCTTCTAAGATAATTAGTGGTAGAAATGCAACATGATAACTAGGCTAATCACCTAAAAAGTAATCAAAATGTTTTCTGATTTTTTTTTAATTATTTCTAGATCTCTATGATCTATTTGAAAAATAGATTCTTGAACAGAAGTTCTACTTGCCCTACCAGTTGCAGCACATAAAATGAGCACAGTATTTGTGCAGAAACCAACAGCAACTGAGAAATCCATAAAAATTATTAAATAGCATTCCCCATTTTACTAGTTTGCAGTGGGGTCAGCAATAGTAATGCTGACAGCATAGTAAGTATTCTGAAACGGGATAGGATAAGAGCAAAAAGAATGCCTGTGATAGGACTGCTTTGTAGTCTTGTCTCATGCAGTATTTGTTGTCCATAAAGCTGTAAATATTTGACTGTGAGCTTCCTGGGCATTGAGATTTTCTAGCAGCAGTCCTACCACTCAGTGTGTCTGCTTTTCCTCACCTGTTCCTGCTCTGTGATAACTCTATGTTTACCTGACAATATGCAACCTGGAAAAGTTAGTTGTAAGCCTGCTGCAGTTCAGAATTTGCCAAACATACCCTGCTTATTCTGAGAGTTCTTTACAAGTACACTAAAAAGAGTAACTTCCTCCAGACATGCTGGTAGGAGGCAAAATGTAACCATGATTTCAAATAGGTTTTTACCGAGTCTCTTTCATTAATTATTTTAGCGCAGAGTATTTAGCTCCCTAGGAATCTGCGTGCTACATCACCAAAACTAGTTTATGAAGGACTTTGACATAAAATTTGAAGGATATTTTCTAATTACTTGTTTGTTTCTTTAGATATTAGTAAAATAAAAATTCCTACACACATACACCAGATGCTCTGGCAGGTAATCAGTGTGCATGATTCTGTCCATCCTACATAGCTGAAATAAAAGTAGATTGAATCAGTAAATCAAGTCAACATATACAATATGTTTTCACTATGGAAGAAGATAACTTGCTCTACACCACGGTGACGAAAACATAGCTAAAGTGTGAAAATTGCCTTGCTGATTTATTTTCCATGATATTAATTTGTAGAGGAAGGTAGATAATTGCTTCACTAACTTCGGTTATTATTCTTTTCTATCTTAAACACTTGCAGATACTGAAAATATTATAGCAAAAGAATGGTCCTCGGGCTGCAAAGCTAAGCACTCAAAATTTACAAAAATACCCAATTAAGGTTGTCCATTAAACTTCAGTTCGGCCTATTCCAAATGTGATTGCAAAACATTGTGCAACTGTCTTGTTCATACTACACTGCCCACAGCATCTTTGCATCAGTGTATTGAATATTTCATTGTAGCTTTCTTTTTGAATGCATTTTATTCCATACTCTATAGTCATTACCCCCTACCCAGCTCTTGTTCC